CCTGGTTGTTGGTTCAGACTCTTTGAGTTCCTTTGAGTCAGGTTGTTTCTGTTGGTTTCCTTGTCATGCCCTTGACAAATCTGGCTCCTATACAGTCTTTTCTCTTTCTCTTAGCAGGATTCCCTGAGCTGGTCTAATATTTGGCTATGGGTCTCTGCATCTGTTACTGGGGGAAGGCTCTTTGATGACAATTTGGGGTATCACTAATCTAATAACAGGCGATGACCAGTTCAGGCACCCTCTCCATTATTGCTGAGAGTGTTAGCTGTAGTCATCCTAACTGATTTCTAATCTCTTGGTGTTAGCGGGAATCAGTGAATTTGTCTAACTAGATTGTCATAAGGTAGGATTTGGAACTTGCCTGACTGCAGTAAACTACTTAAGTATAATAAATAAATGACTTATCTGTAATAGATAACCATATACAAGCCACCACAAACCCATTTATTTTATTTTTTATATCAGCACACAAAATTTGGATATCATTATGGCATTTTCCAACAAAGCATGTTACAGTTAGTTGGTTCTCTTTGTTTCTCCTTTCTCTTCATCACCCTCATCTCCCTTCCCTGCCTGCCTACCTCCTTGTATTCCCTGCCCCCTTTTAGCTTTACTGTCATATGTATTTTCTTATTCCCCTCTACTTTCATGCAGAAACACTTTCTTCCGATTGGTTCTTCTTAATAGATGTTTTGACTTTATCTCTGTTTATACCCATTTATAGGTATATATGTACAGATTCATACTAAAGTCTGCTTGTAAGAAAGAACATGCCATTTTTGTCTCTCATAATTTGGGTCATTTTAGTTATTATTAAATCTTCTTTTTCATTTTTTATTAAATAGTAAGTCTTCTAAATACATATATTTCCATGCAAATTTTATTTTTCCTTATATCTGAGTGAAATTTCATTTTATATATTCATTAAATTTTCACTATTTATTTCTTTGTACACATTTATGCTGGTTGCATTTCTTAGCTATTATAGATAGAGTTAGCAAACCTCATGGATGTGCAGTGATCTTTTGGGTAAGATACAGAGTTCCTTTGGAAGTATGCTAAAGAATGGCACACCTAGGTCACATTGCATTTTAATTTTTAGAGAACTCTTAATATTGATTAATGAAATTAATTTACTAGCTTGCTTGCCCACCAGCAGTGAATATGGGTTACTCTTTCTCTACATCTTTGGTAATTCTGTTCTCATTTGTTTTCTTGATGGCCATCTTTTTAACTGGCATGAGATGGAATCTCAAAGTTGTTTTAACTTGCAATTCCCTAGTGGTTAGGGAAATGAACTACCTTTTAAAAGTGTTTCCTGGTCGTTTGTATTCCTTCTTTTGAAAACTATTCATTTTAGTAGCCCATTTATTGATCTACAGAAGACGTTAGCAGTTTAAATTTAGTAGTTCTTTGCAAAATCTGGGTATTAGTTTCCTCTTTGACATACAGCTGTCAAAGATTTTCTCCCAGTCTGAAGCTATTTACTCCACTGATATTTACTCTCTGCAAAACCATTATAGTTCTACTTGTTAATGATTGGAGCTCTTCCCTGTGTTATAGCAGTCTCGTTTCAGATGTTTGCTGCCTCTACCTACATCTTGAAGCGTATTTCATATCTTTTACCGTGCACCAAAATCAATCCAAAGTGGGCCAAACATCTTAATTTAAAATCACAATTCATTTTAGGAATCAATTCCTCCTCTTATCTCATTTTTTTCGTTCCACTCTAAGCCACCCATCCATAGCCAAGTTCCTATTTGTCCTGTTTTGTTTTTCTTCTGCCAGGGCTCCATTAAACTGCATAAGTGTAATTACCTTTCCAGACAACTGTATGAATGGCTATCACGATCACTTTTATTTTATTAGCATGCTAAGTGGGCACTTTATGTATATTCAGTTATTTCAGGTCTGAATGTGAATCTTTTGGTGGTTCAAATTTCAAATGAAGTACTTTAACATAAAAATCAAGGTCATGGGTAGAGGCCACTAATGGACTTTCCAGAAAATTGATAAATACAGCACATCAGTATTATAAGACAACTTCTGTGGCTTTTTTTTTCTCTCAGTTTATACATAAGCAAAACATACTTGTGAATCAGGGTCACCCTTCCAAACTAATCTCTAGTTCTTAGGATGAATCAGTTGGCTTTTATAATTAAATTGGTATGAGGTGAGGTCCAGAAATTACCAGGCTGTGATAAACCATAATGTTATAATTTCTTTTGCAGATGATCTCATATAAGAGGCCATCCAAACGAAGACGAGGCAAAAAACGGTCTTCTAGTAAAAAAGCAAACATTCACGCTCATGCTTTGAATTATAAAATGTTAACTGCACCAACTTACAGATTCTCCAATTACCCGAGAACATCGTTCAATATGAAAACATTGCAATACAAGATTGATAAACCAGAATATTTCATGTGTTTCAAGGGCTTATATGCCTATATGAAAACCAAGAATCCCCCTTTGCCAGTGGAGAATGATTATAGCGACAACAGTACATAAAATGTGATGGGATTCAATTGATTGTGTTTCTTAAAGGTGTGGAGGTGTCCAATACAGATTCCAGACACTTACTGTTTGCTTGCATTTTGTTTTAAAAATTACTTACATGCATTGACTAATATTGTTATATTATAAGATTGTTATATTATTGGGGAAGGGTGTAGAAGCACACAGAACAGAAAAGGAAAGACAGTTCAAAACTTCATAGCTGACAAAAAAATGATAACTTCATTTAAGCCTGAATATCTTCATCTAATGGATTGCAGTCTATTACTCCATTTGTCCAAAGTTTTAATTAGCATGAGAAGAATTACATGGAACTATTTTGTCCATTATGCACATGACCACTTGTTATTATCATCAAATCTTTATAATGAAAAGAAGAGAAGCAATATATGCTTGGCATAAATTAAGATGATTATTAAGATCTATTTCTTCACACCTGAAGGTAGTGATACAAGGCTTTAAACTACTCCTTTTGGTTAGGATTTAGAAAACATTTGATTCCATTACATTCTCTCTCTGCCCAAATTTTCCCTAGAGAATCCAAATGTCACCTCTAAAGTTTGCATGCACATATTTAATTACTGCAAACCCCAACCTTAAAATAGCACCAAAATACAATTTTTAATACAATTTGAACAGCATGAATAAAAAATTTTCTAAGCTTTGGTTAGTCATCTATCTCACATAATATTCTATAAAATAAAGTGTTACTGGGACTAAATTTCTTTATGCTTGTTCACGAAATTGGGTCTGTCCACAAAGAAAGCCTTCCAAATATCAAGGTAAGTTGATCTTATATGTGAATTATTGAGATTTATTATTTATAGGTCTATTGCTATGCCTGCATGCCACCTCTTTTCAGAATCATTTACTTATGCTTATTAAGAGACACCTAAATCAGTTTACTGCTTTGATCTTTAATCAAAAGAAGAAAGGAGGAGATAAGATGCATGAGAAAATTGTTCCCTCTTGGTACTCAGTTGCCAAGTACAAATTAGCTAGCAGTATGTGGTTCTTAAAAGTTTGTTTGTTTGCTTGTTTTTGTTTTTTTTTTGTCACAGTTTCCTTTGCTTTTATCTTGAAAGCAGTGGACTCACTCTCTCACCAAATGCAAATCCACTTCCCCAGAAAATAATGCCTAAAGTTTTAGTCCTATTATCTCCTAAAGCTTAGCGTAACTTTTAAAATTTTCCCTATCTATTTAGGTAGATTTTAATATCCTGAGCTGTGAATTTTAAATCATATGTCAAAAATACATAATAACGCACAAGGTATCATTTGTGAGTAAACCAGAGTACAAAAATTTTATTGGTGACAACTAATTAGAAATTAACAATTAATATATGAATACTTTATTTAAATTTTTATTATGACAACTAGTTAACAATTGGCATCAATTAATATATGAATACTTTATTACTCTTAGACAAAAACAAAAGCATAAAAGACAAGATTATTGCCCTTCATCTGTTAGATATATATCATTATAAAAATGCCAGATCAGTAACAATTTAATCCAAATTCTATCTGCAGTTAAATTTAGAATTCAGAGAATGTAATGAACTACTTATTACATTATTATAAGCCATGAGCTGGCTTTTTAAAGCCCATTCCCTGTGGTGGAATGCCTTGCTCAGCCTTGAAGCAGGGAAGGAAGAGGCTTGGTCCTGCCTCCACTGAATGTGCCAGGCTTTGTTGACTCTCCATGGGAAGCCTTACCCTTTCTGAGGAGTGGATCAGAGTGGATATGCGTAAGGAAGTGCAAGGGAAGGAGGGGAAGGAGGGGTATCTCTGGTTGGTGTGTGAAATGAATAAAAAATAAAATATAAAGAAAGAAATTAAATAAATGAGTCATGGTTTTATTCCAAATACAACCTGAAGAAGAAAGATACTATGAATAGTAAGATATACTCAATATTTTAATATTACATTTTCTAGACTTCTCCTTTTCTGACCAACTGTTCCTCATTTTTGTCTCATTTCACTCTCAAAATAACTTCAAAGTTTACATAGAGAATGTGAACCATAATAAATGTATGACATGTTTGGACATATTTGGATCATAGGTATTAAATAGTCTGTATCATATATAGTTCTCTCCCTACATACTTGTGACATTCCTTTTTAAATGAGATTTATTTGCTTGTATTTTTGTGTGGGCATGTTTTGCCTGAATGTATGCACACCATATGTGTGCAGTGTCATGGAAGTCAGAAGAAGACTCCTGTAACTCCTGGGACTGGAGTTACAGACAGTATTTGTTATCATGTGGATGCTGAGATTTGAACCTACATCTTCTGCCATAGCCATTGCTCTTAACCACTGAGGGATCTCTCCAGGCCCCATTTGTGACTTGTACATGAGATGACTTTGTGTAACACTTGCTTTTAACTACACTGACTTATTGTTTCCCCATTCTATGAATAATAAAAGTGAATATTAAGTCTGCAGAAACAAATAATGTCTATAAAATCACCAAATACAAAGTGTGACTACTTCCTAAGTAATCATCTCACAGAAAACCTTCAGTATACTAAAAAAAGAGAAAGAAATATTACAATAATATTTACAAAATGTCATTGTAAAACAACTGGGTTTACAAAATGTCATTATAAAATAGACCTGGATATATGTATTAACAAATAACTAATCCTAAAGTGAAACAAGCACATCAGTCAACATTCATAGATTCACATTTTATATTTCATTCTTGATTAGGTGATAAAAGTACTTACAACTCTGTACTGAGCATGGCATGTACATTTCTCTGCTTGATTGATGCACAAATAAATTAAAACATTTCCCTAGAAAATCACATTATATAACAATCAGATATTTTTCAAAAGGCACATCTTATTCTGGCTTTCTACTGTCACTAATAGTGGGGATTTCGTGGTCAGTCTCCTTTGAAGGTTCAGCCATGTCTTTATATCTCTCCCCACGATGTTTTTCCAGATATGGGACCCAGTTAGAAGCTGGTCTACAGCAGCTTATGATACGCTGAAAAGCAATAACAAAATCTCTCTATTAGAATTTAAGCGCTATCATCTTTTTTAAAAAGCAAGTATTAAACTACACGTTTATTGTAAGTACCTTTGCTAGCACCAATGATATAGCAATCAAAGAAATGTGACAGCCTAGATTCTTAAAACACCACCAAACAAGAAATTGTAGACAAAAATATTGTTCCTAATAGTTAATAGAATTATTCTACTAAACCAAAACGTAATGATTTAAGAAAAAAGGTAGATGAACCAATTAGAATAACAGTGGCATTCTAGGCAGCTTTCCTAAATTCATTTCAGTCCTTGTCACAGAAGGTCAGATGTGCAACTGGAATATGCTTCAAAAACTGAGATAAGGTCTACTTATTTGGATCTGTTCTTGGATATGCATAGGAATTTATTGAAATTAAGTATCTTAAGCTTATCTTGTCATTGTTCTAGTATGAGACTTAACTCTATCACCCTAAGCCTCTGTGGAAGAAAGATGATTCAAGGGCTATAAAAAATGCAGACAATTTAAGCTCATTCAGTTTAAATACACTATTAGGATTCGTATTATAGCCAGATGAAGATTCAAAAGAGATTATATATAGAAGAAACAACTGAGTCACATGCTTTTTGACATCTACAGGATGATTGGACAAATAAATAGATCACAGTTGTTACATGCTGAAGAGTGTAATAGGGCCTGAGGAAACAGTAACAAATGTCTACAAAAAAACTGATAGTAAAATACAAGTAGATATACAAATTATATTACCATATGTATTATTTATTACAATATATTTTTAATAACATATATAATATAATCTCAAGCATGATGATACAAGATGTAGAAGTAATCAGAGGGAAGGAAGGGTGATTATTTTCAACCCAAGTACTCTGTTATATCTTCTACATAATTAATCTGCCTTTATCACAAATGCTTATATAAAATAAGAATTCAATGTGCTTACTTGAATAATGTTTCCTTCAGCCTTGATTATTTTTATGATTGCCATAATTGGTATCCAAATAATGCAGAAAATAATCATACACCAGCCTAGGGCAACTCCCCAGTCAGGATATGGAATATCACCATAATCAAGTCTATGAAATTTCACCAGTGACCAAACTAGAATGGCCTAAGAAAGTAAAGCATTAAAAAGACAAAGTTAAAGACTAGACTTGGTGCTATTAATGAGTCACAATTTGAAGTTTATCAAACAATAAAATGAGGTTATAATTAAGGAACTAAGACAAATGGATAACAATTCAGAAGATAAGAATATGAAATGAACCAAATTTTTAGTTTTGCTTAGAGAAATTTTGAAAATTTAAAGCCACCACTTATCCACAGAAGATCTATTTACTCAATATCAAGACCCTTGATTATATATAAAATAAATCTGAAATTTATTTTACTAAAAAAAGCCTTTAATGCCTTTTCTTTTACATTATTTCTTGTGTGTGTGGATATTTTGCCTGCATGTCTGTTTGTGGATCATATGCCTTCCTGGTGCCGAAGGATGCCAGAAGAAGTCAACAGATGCCTTCAAACTTAAATTACAGTTGTAAACTGCTATGCAGATGCTGGGAATGAAACCTAGTTCTTTTGGAAGAGCAACTAGTGCTCTTACCCAGTGAGTCGTCTCTCTAGCTTAATTTTTTATATTTTTGGAAATAGGTTCCCCCTATTTATTCCTGGATGGCCTGGGTGTAGAATAGGTTGGCCTTGAACTCAGAATCATATTCCTGCTTTCTGGCACTTGAGTACTGGGATTAAGCACGTCTATCTCTGTGCCAAATCATTTACTTTTTAAGAGGTAAAAGTATAAAAATTAACATAACTTGAGTGCCATATTATGTTTTCATATATGAGTACACTGTGTAATGTGTATATCAGGCTAAATACATACCGCTTAAAATGTTACCCTTTATGGCAATTGTTTACATAATTCTTTCTCCTATTATAAATTTTATAATTACATAGAATACTATCATCCATTGTTTTCCTCCTATGCAATTATATAGCAGAATTTCTTGCTCCAACTAAACTCCAACTTAGTGTCTACGCATCAGCCCCACCTCTACTGTCCTTGACCTCTGACTATTGCCGTTTTAGTCTCACCTCAGCTATATATTTATTTAAGTTGCTCATCTGTGTGAGTTTCTACTGCACTTCTATTACTCTCACTGGCTTATTCTACTTAACATTGTTTGTTTCCATTCATGCCAAAATTGTAAAGATTTGTTTATTATCTGGCTTAATAGAGTTCTCTACCCCCCACTCCATAACTCACATTTAAAAACATGGTACTGGCACATGTTTAGCAAAACACAATTCCCGCCTAGGCTCTTGACCACAGAAGTTTGATGTAAGTTCAAGTAGTGTGGCAAACAAATGTAAGACTCATCTGAATTCTCAACATTCAAAGGATTAGGAGTTCAAGGTAATGCTCAGCTACATACTAATTTCAAGGCCACCCTGAAATACAGAAGACCCTCCCTCATAAAAAGGGGATAAAATTCAATAAACACTTCTCAACCTGTGGGTCTCGACCCTTAGGAGTCCATGAACCTTTTCACAGGGGTTACCTAAGACCATTGGAAAACACAATTATTTTTATCACAATTTTAACAGTAGCAAAATTACAGTTATGAAGTAATAATAAAAATAATTTTATAGTTGGCTGGTCACCACAACATGAGGAACAGTATTAAATAAGCAAAGCATTTGGAAGGTTGAAAGCCACTTTTTAAAATGACTTTTAGATATTTCTCAAAATTTAATAGAAATAAGTAAGACATTTTGGGGAAGTTCTGGAAGCTATTCTCTGACTTAAATTATTCTTTTGCAAAAATAAAGGTATATATTATTGTTTAACTGATACACATACTTACACATGCATATGTAACACATATTTACATATGTGAAGAGAACCAGATGGGCCAGTGAGGAAATTATTGAGAACAAAGTTAAAGCATACATGTATACATACATATGAAGGTTCATGTATTTACTAACTTAAACTTAAGTTTTCAAAAGCTACCAATCAGTCCTTATATGGGAAAAAGTCTTTAATCCATGTCTTTAGGAGGTAATCACAGGCAGATCCTTGGGAGTTCAAGGTCAGCCTGTCTACATAAGTAATGACAGACTAGTTAGGGCTACATAATAACACTCTGTCTCAAAAAAATAAAGCCTGTTACCAATCAGTACTCAAGGAATACTAGGAATTTATTTTCTTTCTTTGCTTTAATCTATTTCAAGTCTCATCCAAGGAGATACAGTCTGCCAAAAGTGCTCAATGCTGTAAATACTGAGTTCTTGAACTTTCAGAGACACCTCCATTGTGAATACTCCCCAAGAGATTGAAGTCTAACTTTTATGAGTTTGAAGTACATGTGCAGCTTTTGGAGATCACTTGGGAAGTTAAGTAAAATCTCTATTGCAAGATTTTTCAGTATCCTATAAGGTGGTGGATTAGAATAGTAATTAAAGAGTAGATTAGAAATGAGTGTACTCTGCTCCAAGGGATATTGGAGTGTTATCAGAAAATTTAAAAAGAAAGAAATGACTCCAACCAAGGTGTCTTAGTATGCAAATCAGACTGCAATCAAGATGGAGGACTGGAGTTCAATCCCTGGAAACTACATGGTGAAAAAAGAGACTTGACTCCCACAGGTTGTCCTCTGACAAAGAGCACTCCTTCCCTCTATCCTCTCTTTGTAGGTTGAAAAATAAATGAAAGAACAGCTGAAAATATAGAAAAGCAGAGGATGACATGGTGAAATGGAATGGCCCATGCATAGCTACCCAGTGTGGGGAAGAGAAAGTCTAAGTGACAAACCACAAACCTCTGATAAAAGAGCCTGACAATCCTAATCATATCACAAGCCAATAGTTATCACAAATCTTGAATGTGTTTATAGCATTTGGTGAAACAGTGACTCATTCTGTGTCACACCACTGGAGAGGAAATCTATTTTGCTATTCCTCAAGTCTTATAGTGAGTATGACTGGGGCCCAACTAGACTCAATAGCCCTCTCCAATGTCATGCAATAGACCCCATCCACTTAATAATTGCTGACACTTGCAGCCCCAAGCCAAGTTCAGTGGACAACCTAATGTCTGTAGGTCTCATGTGTCACTGCAGGCAAGGCTGAAAGCTTCCTGAAATTCTGTCCAAGCTGAATTTTCATCTTCCACCCCTTTCTGATAATCCCCTAAGGTGTTTGAGATTTAGCAGGATTTCAAAACACTGAGGTTAGTCTTCAGTACATATCTCAGTGACAAGCTTACAAGTGACATTAGCCACCTTGCATATAAAAACTAAAGATTTTGATCCATGGATGAATCTGCCCATGGGTTTCAAAGCTAAGTGTAGGTAAAAGACATTCCTGGTATACACAAAAAGGAAACTCCTGAAAAGAAATAAGTATTACTGGATGTTTGATGCTGAACTGGCTCAGGATAAGTCTACAAGGTAAGAAAGACAGGAGACTCCATTGAATCCACACCTCTAGATAGCAGACTATAGATGAAAGAAAACCAGAAAGAAAGGGTGTTCTAATACATTGTAATGTTTTTTTAATTATATTTTAATTTAAATTTAAATTTTTAATTATATTTTAATTTAAATATAAATAATGGAAATTTATTGTCATAATGAAGAATGAAAATACAATATTTGCAGAAAGTAAGTAGAATTGAAGATCATTATGCTAAGCAAAATAAGTTGGACTCAGGTAAAAATCATCATATATTTTTCATTATGCAGAATGGGATACCACTCAGTGATAGACTGCTTCCTGAGATAACAAATGGTCTAGATGCAATCACCAGTAGGACTAGAAAAGAAAGGGTTAAGAAGTCTTATTTTATTGAAAAGACTTTTTCAAATAAGGGTAATGATATTTAGCAAGAGCTTTAAAGATATTTAGTGAGGCTAGATACATATAAATGTTTAGATTTTTTTAATATAGTCCTACTCACTATTTAAAAGTGATATCAAATATTAAAACACAAAATCTGATACATCCATCAACAATGAAATATTATGCCATGGAAGTGATTCAAATGTAACTATTCCATGACATTCTCTAGGAAATTCTTTGAAAGTCGTGAGAGCAACAACACATCTTTAAAACTATGCTACTCTCCACTTGTGTGATTAACTCTGAGCAGCAAAAATCCTCTTGAGAACTGTTCAATTTTAGCACTCAGGAACCTAATCTACTGCACCATTCTTTGATGATCTTGTATCTATAGCTGAACAATAATCAAGAAACTATCATTTACTTTTCCTCAGCTCCTAAGTAGTGTCTATCATTAAATTTATCATATAAACCATTGTATGTATTGACACAAGTGAGTTTATTTTTAGCAATTTAAGATAATAAATACCTCATCCATCAACTAAAAATGTATACTGAATGTTATTAATATCTTAATTTTATTTTTTAAAAAATTATTTAAAGACATCATCTAGCTGTGCAGTGGTGGACTATGCCTTTAATTTCAGTACTCGGGAGGCAGAGGCAGGCAGATATGTATGGGTTTGAGGCCAGTCTTGTCTGCAGAGTAAGTTTCAGGACAGTCAGGACTAAAAAGACATGTCTCAAAAGACCAAAACAATAAAAAAATTTAAAAAAATGAAGATAGCATCTGGTTCTCATGAGGCTTTGAGTTTTCTGGAAGAGAAGTTAAGAAATGGCTCACCATATCTTTCAGAGAATGAGTAAATTTATGATTTACTTTTGTTTATCCTACTGATGATTGCATCCTATTGGTCATTTTAAGTTGTTGATACCTTTAATTCTATAGAGAGCTATTTTTGTCTCAAATGTGCAATGTTCAAACCCATGGCATCAAAAATAATATTGCAAAGGACATTTTAATTCAGACAATGTGAAGGCACCTGTAGTAAAAACTACAAACCTGAAAAATATTCACCTGATGGAGGAAGATCATTGGCTAATAAAGAAACTGCCTTGGCCCATTTGATAGGCCAGCCTTTAGGTGGGTGGAGTAAACAGAACAGAATGCTGGGGGGAAGAGGAAGTGAGCTCATATGCCTTAGCTCTGCTCTCCGGGGCAGATGCGATGAAGCTCCGAACCAGGATGGGCGTAGGCTAGAATCTTCCCAGTAAGCGCACCTCGGTGCTACACACGTTAATAGAAATGGGCCAGGCAGTGTTTAAATGAACACAGTTTGTGTGTTGTTATTTCGGGGTATAAGCTAGCCAGCCAGCCAGGAGACAGGCTGTGGGAAGAGGCCCGCAGCTCTTACTACAGAATGGCGCCCGACATGGTAGCAGCAATTTCTCATGTCTGCTCTGCTTGCTAGAGGCAAGCAAGTGCTCTCATCAAAGAGAGGCTTCCTGACTCAGCTTTTGCTGCAAAACCCTGTAGCTCTTAAGAGGTCCTGCCACAAAACACTTAAATGGTGTTGATAAAAGCCAACTGAATGCTTATTTGTTTTCAGCTGTAGCAGGAAAAAAAAGTTGTGCTGTTTTAAAAGGCCGGTTTTCTGGGTCGTCCTGCCAGGGCAAACTCTAACTCAGACTCAAGCAGGTATTCTGACTGAATGTGGTTCTGTGAGCAGAATGCTGCAGTTTGCTTGCTGGCAGGGACCGTAAAATGCCATAGAGTTGTGGCGATAAACATGGCTACAGCCGCCAGTACCTCAGCCATGAGGCTGGAAATCTAAAGAATGGGCTGGATCCAGCCGGCAAAGCCACTGCTTTAGTCCTACTGAGATTGCTTGGTAAATTAAAGACTCATGTGGTCAAAAAACAGATAAAAATACAGTAAAGAGAGTGTCAAAAGAAAAGAAAACTTCTAAATGATTTACAGTATGATGAAAATATATGCAGACTAAAAGTTAAAGTTCTTAAAGTAAAAAAAAAAAGGAAGAAGGGGAGTAGTTGGGTGTGGTAGTACAAACTTTAATCCCAACACTTGGGAGGCAGAGGGAGATTGACCTCTGTGACTTCAAGGTGTGGTAGCACACACCTTTACTCCAAGTGCCTATAAGGCAGAGACAAACGGATCTCTGTGAGTTCAAGGTGTAGTAGGTACACCTTTAATCCCAATGCCTGGGAGGCAGAGACAGGCAGATCTCTGAGAGTTCAAGGACATCCTGGTCTACAGAGTTATTCCAGGGCAAAGATATACATAGAAGGCGTCTCAAAAAATAAAAGTAAAAATAAACAAAATAGAGGTTAAAATAAAGCTGCAAAAAGATGGAAAATTCACAGATAATCTTGATACTGTAAGCTATTATGCTCTCTTTGATTGTTTGAATGCTGAGGAAAGAGCACCAGCTGCTAAAAGATATTTGTTTATAAATGCTGCTGAACTAATCCGAGATAGATTACCTTGACTTTAAAATTTGGATCTAAGGACATGATGCTTTGGAAAGGAGTTTCTTCTTTTGTTTTCACAGAGGATGAAACTCTGTGGATTGCGTCTATCCCAATATGGTGTGATATACCACGCCCTCCTGAAAGGTTGCTGTGAACACCTTCAAAAAATTACTACACTCAACTGCTGACTGAGATGAATCTAGCACACAGGTTATACCATGAAAGACCTAAATAACAGCGTCCCCATTCAGCAAGAAGCAGTTTGGAGAGAAATAACTACACCCATATTCCCAAATACTGTTTATAAATGTTCTTTTACATTTAAAGGGGGATATAATATAGATATGAATCATTTGTATTGGTATGGATTTTAAGGTCAATTTTGTTATATGTATATGTATTTCTGCTCTTGATTAAGGTATTTTGATTGTGTAGTTCATTTAAAAATGTAATGTATATATTGTTAATGGATAATCATCTATAATAGTCAAGCTTGTAGTCATGTTAGTTAGATTTTTCTAGATGTATAGCGATATATTTAAGTTAGATAGGCATTCTTTATATCTTTCAAAGACTGCAGAATATGGCATTTAATGTTTTAATAACTTAGGGCTTTTCGTGACAATGAGACACATCTGCTCCTGGCAGAACCAATCTACTTCAAGAGGAAGATGGGCATCAAAGAGGTTTCTTATGGAGTTGGTTAGCCATTTGGGCAAGAAACTGCTCTTGCCTGGACTGATGCATAAACTGGACACAAAGAACCTGCAGAGAGAGGACTGCTGAACTTGCCTAAACGTGAGACGGTCTTTCGGGGTTCCTGACTCATGAAAGAGTCTGCAAGACTTTTTACAGGACACAGCAGATAGTGACTGACTGTCTTTGAAATTTCCTGCTTTACAGAAATGTCTGCTGGAAACTATGGGCTTGTAGGCTGAAGATGAATGCCCCAATGGTACAGAGGAACTATGGGTGACTATCCAGGCAGTGAGATGTCTCTGTCATTTCTAGAGTTTTCTTATTTCTTGTTTGCTTAGGTAATACTGTGTCCTTCTGGAGTCTTTGATGGAGTTCAAGAATAGTTAGTTATCGTTATAGTTTTCCTTAGTTATGATAAAGATAAAATAGATGTAAATATTGTAATTTTTACTTGATAACTGTTTTGTTATATGTAATTTTACTATGTTAAAGTTAAAGCCTTTCCTTTTTCTTTAAAGAGAAAAAGGGGAAATGATGGAGGAAGGTCATAGGCTAATAAAGAATCTGCCTTGGCCCATTTGATAGGCCAGCCTTTAGGTGGGTGGAGTAAACAGAACAGAATGCTGGGCGGAAGAGGAAGTGAGCTCATATGCCTTAGCTCTGCTCTCTGGGGCAGACTTGATAAAGCTCCGACCCAGGATGGACGTAGGCTAGAATCTTCCCTGTAATTGTACCTCAGTGCTATACACATTAATAGAAATGGGCCAGGCAGTGTTTAAATGAATACAGTTTGTGTGTTGTTATTTCAGGGTATAAGCTAGCCAGGCGGCCAGGAGCCAGGCTGTGGGAAGAGTCCCACAGCTCTTACTACTTTCACCCCCCCCCATATTCTTTACTTATTTTCCCTAATGGGAATCGTTCATCAAGTTCCTTACTAACTTCAAAGGTATGAGTTATTTTATTGACACCAAATTCATTGTATATTGTTACTTACAGACAATAGGATAGGCGTGATGACAAACCAGCAAGCTCTCCACCAGAGCCAAAATATCCATCTCTTTGCTCCAATCATCATTTCTATGTCTTCAATGAATCTATTCCCTCCTAGAGATAACAATTACACATGATGAGTCCTTTCTTACACGGTTCCTTGGAGATTGACATACATATTATCCTTTTTCATTTAAGCATGTTCCTAAAAGTCATCAGTGAAGCACACACCTGGAATTCCATATCATTCATAACGTATTTTGCTCAACAGATCACATTTTACTATTATATGTGCTATTAAAATTGGATGATTACATATTCTTTTTTGTGTTTTAATGTTGTTTTATTTTTATTTTATTGATTTTATTGAGCTCTACATTTTTCTCTGGTCCCCTCCCTGCCTCTCCCATACCCTTTTACCCTCCCCATGGTCCCTAATGAAAAGGAATCAAATGATGTTGTATAAGACTTATAAACAAATCGGCGATCACCATTTACCATAAATCCAGATGATTCCTAAAATTTCCAAGATAGCTGCAATCAAAATGCCCCATCCAGCACAGAAGTGATCAATCAAATGAACCCAGTAAATTCCAGCCTACAGAAAACAAAACAAAAACAGAAAAACAAGCTCACACCAGTTATTTACCACAATATTTTCACTACTTTTTGTAAAGTATCCAAATAGAATACATTTTCAAACAATATATTAAAGTATGTTTCCTGTATAAACTCAAATATGTGTTTAATTGCTTAAAATTCCAAACAGGTATTTTCTTATAATATACTATGACACTGACAAAATGCAAGCATTTAAAACACATGATTATATACATGGAATATAGTATCTATGAGCTCTGTAATAGCCAAGAAAAATAAAATCTTGTTACTTAGAAAATTGTTATTATTGGGCTTCCTCCTCTGAAAAAAAAATATATACTAGCGAAGTTACAAAGAAGAAATTGTTGAAATGCGGAAGGCATCATAAATAGAAATTGGACCTGGCGTGAAACACCCCCTTGAGTCTTAGCATATTTGTTTAGATTTAAAAGTATAGTCCAACTAATACTTGTCTACAGAAGTTAAAGGCTAAACTGTACCTGAGTCACACAGACGAGACCAAGGAGAAACAGAACGAAGCAGCAACCCAATGTTATAGGAACTCTCATGCGTTTCATTGCTTTGGGAAACAAATCTTGAATTGTTGTTGTAATTGTTTCTAGAGAAGGGAAAATGGGTTATTACATTTCAACTGAGTAAGACTAATACAGAATTCAATATCTATTAATCAAATTCATACATATAAACTGGGAGTATTCTCTGGACATTGCTCTTTTCTAAGTCAAGAAGGTTCTCTTTCACATTGTTTTGTAGTTTGTTTTTCAAGACAGACTGTCATATAACTTCGAAGACCAGCTGACCTCAAACTCAGAGATTTACCTACCTCTGCTTCCTGAGTGCTAGGATTTAAAAGTCCTGTGCCACCACTTCCAGGCAAGATCTTTTCTCTTAGTCCCTGGATTTAGCTCCCAGCAGACAGAAGAAGGAAGGAAGAGAGATAAGTGAGTGCAGCACAAGAAAGAGGAGGGGGAGGCAGGGGAGAGAGGAGGTGGAAGTGGACTATGGCAGTTAGGAAGGCAGGCCAGGGAGATAGAAGGGCAGAGATGAAGAGATGGAAGAAAAAGATGTGGGAGAAGGAAGAAGGAAGGGAGGAATAGTGTCTTCTAAACAGAAACTTCTCTAAAAGTAGAAAAATATATAAGCCAAAAGATCACAAGAGATATATTTAACATTTTTGAAGGCTTTGGAAATCAACCCGACCAACTTGAGTTTTTCCTATAATAAACGAAGAAAATGTGTTATGTAAGACAATGTTATAAAATTGTTTCAAAATATTTAGTTGTATGCCTTAGAGAAATTACTTCTGTGTATATAGAATCATATGTATGAAGTGTTATCTGATCAGTGTGTGTGTGTGTGTGTGTGTGTGTGTGTGTGTGCATGTGTGTATGTGTCCCATTTGTGGCTATATATATATATATATATATATATATATATATATATATATAGAGAGAGAGAGAGAGAGAGAGACATGTGTATACATATGTGCATGCAGACACAAATGAACCAATTCATTGCCTATCCAAAAAGCTGAGAAATTGTTAATAAGAGTTTTGTTAAAACTCTCTCAAGCAAGAACCAAGTTTTTAGGGAGAAATAAAGTTGTCACGGGAACTGTCCCCAGGTACAGAGGGCAGGAAAGAGAAAATGGTAGCCATTTTTTTCATTGCTTTATAAAGTATACATTGAATTAAGAAACAAATACAAAATTCTGACTAAAGGGACCAAAAAATGACTCCTTGTAAAATATTTATCTAGAGAAAATATAATAAAGCATTAATATTTGAGGTTTTTAATGTCAAGTATGTATATTGTGTTTTTGTGAATTTAATTTTTAAATTGAAATAACTCATAAACATTCTTCTCTTAATAGCACCTGAAAGAGATACTAGAATAAAAAAACAGGATGTTTTCAAATAAAGGAATCAGGAATAAAATATCAGAGTTATTTAACACAAAAGGTATTACTTACCAATAGAAGCAAATTGAGAATCCAGACCCAGTGTTAAAAGCATGAAAAAAAATAATATGGACCAAAATGGACCAGCTGGGAGTTGGGCTAGAGCTTCTGGATAGGCAATGAATGCCAAATCAAAACCTAAGAAAAATGTGGAATATTTTAAATTAATTGCCAAGTAATTCTACACATTTGAACATTTTCAAAGTAATGTACTTTTAAAATCCCATCATGATTTGACAATGCAATTCATGAACGTACACTCTTTACCAAATTAAATTCTTTAAATGTTTTATTTGGAGGCCAGAGAGATGGCTTATTGAGTAAAAACACTTGTCATTCAAACTTGATGACCTGAGATCGATCTCTAGAATCTACAGAGAAGAAGAAAGCAGATTTCTGAAACTTGTCCTCTTTTGTCCACACAAACACTGTGACCTGCACGTGTCTTCACTCACTCCCTTCCTTTTTCTCCCCCCTCAATATCCCTCCCTCCACCCATCCCTGCCTTTCTCTAATATACAGTAATAATAAATATACAAAATGTTTGAATTGTTAAGCTAATGTGAATGTGTGACATGAATTAAGCTAAGACAATTTTGTTCAGGAAAGTTGTTTTAGAATATTATCACATGTACTCACTCATATGTGGCTTTTAAACATAAAGCAAAGAAAACCAGCCCACAAATCACAGTCCCAGAGAACCTAGGCCACAATGAAGACCCTAAGAGAGGCAGACATAGATCTAATCTACATGGAAAGTAGAAAAAGACAAGATCTCCTGAATAAAGTGGGAGCATTAGGATCATGGGAGAGGGTTGAAGGGGAGGGAAGAGGCAGGGAGGGAAGAAGAGGAAAATGTATAGCTCAATAAAAATAATTTAAAAATTTTAAATCTTTAATATTTCAGATATTCCTAGGTGCTGGCCTGTGATCAAGGATTCTCTCATCTTTGCCTCTTATCTCTCCGTTGGAGTTCTGGTATTGCAGATTTTCACACTATATAGAGGCACACTACACATACATGGATTTGGGAGATTTGAACTCAAATCCCCATTCTTAGATAGCAACTGATTTTATCCATTCCCTATTCAAGTGATTGATAGAAGGTGTGGTGGTACACACCTGTTATCCCAGCACTTGGGGTGTGGGGTAAGGGAGGATCAGGAGTTCAAGGTCATTCTCTACCCCACTCAGAGTTTGACACCAGGCTGGGCTGCATGAGACCATATCTCAAAAAACAGTACCAAAAATATCAGTGAAGGAGAAGAACATATTTCTTAAATGACAAAATCTTAAGTTCACCTTATTCTAAAATTTATAAAAAGTAAAATGAAATGAAGTTGAACTATCTAGAAAAATAAATATATAGAATAAATTTTGTGGTTGTTGCTACTTTTTGAGACAGGGGCTAAGTAGCCCTGGTTGTTCTGGAATTTATTATGTAGACCAGATTGGCCTTAAATTCACAGAAATCTGCAATCCTCTACCTTCCTGGTGCTAGTATTGAAGGCATGCACCACCATGTCTAGCTGGAATGAATCTAGTCTTCTGCCATCTTATCAAATGTTTATCCAGAATTATTATGAGTAATACAATTTCAGTTTAATTATTATGAGTAATAGCATCTCAGTTTACACATACATGCAAAATTGAATATAATAAAGTTCTAGATGGAATCTCATTTTCAAGTTGATATTACTGTTTTAAAAAACACTGTAGTTTGTTCAATTTTTTCTATGTGACACTCAGTTTTAGGTATTTTCAGTTTCTCTGAGTTCCCAAAGGAAGGAAATAGAACATATAGTTATCCTACTGGATATTGGAAGTAGACAAGATTGCCGGACAAAAATTGGGAACTTGGAGGTGGGGTGGGATGGGGGTAAGGGGAAATGGGGAGATAAAAGTGAAAAGGGGAGGATGGGGAGAACTAGGGGGAATGGGATGCTTGGGATAAAGGAAGGGTGGATTGGGAGCAGGGAAGTATATATCTTAATTAAGGGAGCCATTTTAGGGTTGGCAAGAGACTTGACTCTAGAGGGGTTCCAAGGTGTCCAGGGAGATGTCCCCAGCTAGTTCCTTAGGCAGCTGAGGAGAGGGAACCTGAAATGGCCCTATCCTATAGCAATACTGATGAATATCTTGCATATCACCATAGAACCTTCATCTGGCGATGGATGGAGATAGAGACAGAGACCCACATTGGAGCACCAGACTGAGCTCCCAGGGTCCAAATGAGGAGCAGAAGGAGGGAGAACATGAGCAAGGAAGTCAGGAGCAGGAGGGGGGGCTGCACCCACCCACTGAGACAGTGGGGCTTATCTAATGGGAGCTCACCAAGGCCAGCTGGACTGGGACTTAAAAAGCATGGGACTCTCTGAACGTGGCAGACAATAAGGGCTGATGAGAAGCCAGGGACAATGGCACTGGGTTTTGATCCTACTGCATGTACTGGCTTTGTGGGAGCCTAGCCTGTTTGGATTCTCACCTTCCTAGATCTGGATGGAGGGAGGAGGACCTTGGACTTCCCACAGGAACCCTGACTGCTCTTTGGACTGGAGAGGGAGAGGGAGAGGAATGGGGGGGGGGAATGGGAGGCGGGGAGGAGGCAGAATTTTTTTCAAAAAATAAGAATTCATAGCATTGGCTTTTAAAGTAGGCTCTATCACTTTCTAAATATTTGCACTTGTGCAAGACATAGTGTTTGTGTGTACCACTATAATATAAGGAAAGGGACACAAAATGATCTCCAAAATCCTTTCTAATACAGGGCTTCTACTATCATCCATACCAAATAAAGATAATAAAAGTTCCCAAGAGGTTCCTGCTTAAGAATCCTAGGACTCCTTTTCCACCAGACTTTAGCTGGATAGTAAGCATCCCTTAACTATTGTCTGCAAGGTTAGAAAACTCATCAATCAGATTCCTTGAAAGCTGGACTCAATTATGCACTGAGTCACTTTAATATTCCTATTACATGGACAAGTTTAAAAGTTCAAACCCAATACTGTATTTTCACATGGGAAAATTGTTTCTTTCAAGAAGCATAGAATTGTGCTGAGTGGTTCATTTTAAGGATAAATAAAAATAAAGAAAAAATATCTTTATTTCATTTTTTTAGGTACTCTCATGCAGCCTCAGCTGGCCTCAATTTCTCTCAGTAGATGAGGTTAGTCTTCAACTTCTATTTCTCCTACCTCGACTTCCTAAGTGCTGTGATTACATGCATATGACACAACACAGGGTTTTTGAAGTACTAGGTAAAAAAACCAGGGCATGGTACTTGCTTGACGAGCACTCTCCCAAATTGAACTGTGTTCCCAACATTATGTCTTCTTGAATCACTGCTCCCTAAAATGCTTTTGTGTTTCCAGATCTTTTAGGAACTATTACATTAAAATGTATTGTGTTAGATGGACCAGTAAATAAATAACTCTAATCATAAGTATAGATGCCTGTAAATTAGACCAGAATTTCACAAGTGAGCTATATTCAGTTAAATTTCAGGAGCATCCAGAATTGTATACCTGATTTTACAACTTGAGAGACTTCCTTTCCAGATATATGAGCCATATGTCCCAATATAGAAAAAATCGCAAACCCAGCAAACACACTAGTCAGGCAGTTTGTCAAGCAAACTACAATGGCATCAGAGTAACAGTTGTTGTTAAACTTGTTGTAAGATGATAAAGCGACTAGGCCACCCCAAGCGACAGAAAGGGAATAAAATATCTGTGTAGCAGCATCTTTCCAAACCTGTAAGAGAAATTTTAAAAACTTTTAAACATGTACTGTTAAATTTAACTCATAGAAAAGAGTATGCAAGTAAATATAAATGCACATTAAAAAATAATGAAATGAATGCCTAAATGTCAACCATCAAGAGGAAGAAAATAATGGTATGAGCTTTTACGATTTTTTGTGTTTTTTATACTTCAGTAGTAACTGTGGGCTGCAGCCCTTGCATATCAGATATTTACATTATGATTCATAACAGTAGCAAAATTACAGATCTGAAGTAGCAATAAAAATAATTTTATGATCACCACAACATAAGGAACTGTATTAAAGGGAACGTTGAGAACCATTGCTCTATAGCATTGGCAACATTTCGTCAACTTTTTTCTTGTTTGACCTAATCTAAAGGCTTTAAATCAAGTGTTCTGATTAGACTCATTACTTACCAAAATTAGCATTTTCCACAGTGTAATGATTGTTCTGTCTTTTTAAGAGACATGCCACGCCCATTCCCTTCCCCATCTGCTGAGACAGGCTGATCTGCAGCTTCCAGCCTGAGTTCTCTCTCTTTCCCTTCTCCCTCTTGGAGAGGCAGCTCTCTCTCTCTCTCTCTCTCTCTCTCTCTCTCTCTCTCTCTCTCTCTCTCTCTCCCCGGTGTTTGTGTAGACCACACTGTTCTGAAACACCATACATAGAGCTCACAGAGATCTGTCTGCTTCTGCTTCTAAAATTATGTGGTGGAATTTAAGTTACACATACCACACTACAAACTAGAAACTGAATTCTGGTCTTTTGTGTGCTGTATTTCTCGAGGGCCTTTTCCCCTCTCAATGTGCTGCTTGTTTTTTATCCTCTTTACTTTGTGTCCTTCAATGAGCCAAAGTATTTTTGCGATTGCTACTTAATGTAGCTGAAATTATTCAGATGTGCTTACCTGTACATTTCTTCATCTGTGTTGTCTGCTAACAAAGCTTAGTTTAAGATTATAAGGATGTTATTCTGTATTCTCTACATGAAACAGTTTTGTTTTCAGTTTCCCTCCAATTTATTTTACACATATTAATTACACATCTGTTACACATAATTTATTCTACACATATTTCCACTTCACATTATTTTTAAATTTTAAGGATAACTGATGCTACAAATTACATCAATGACATCTATTGGATCATCCATCCTTTTCAGATTGAACTGAATTATTACCTCTGCTAAATACCAAACTTTGTTTCTTGATAAATACATTTTTGAGATTACTATTCTGTACCATCTCTCTGTATATCTGTTCCTATGCCAAAACCTCATGATTTGTGGGTTTTTTTTTTAATACTGTCTTTTGTCTGACATGAGAATTTCTCTATACTTATCTGTGCTGGGAATTAGATTGGAATTTCATTAATTCTCTATGTCAATGTGATATTAAAACCACATTAATTCTTAACAAAGATGTTACTAGACAGCCCAACCTGGCTCTGTGTCTTTGTCTAATTTCAGTCCTTTATCATTACTGACATCAGAATTTATCCCTCCTTCCTCTTTGTGAAATGCCAACAGTTAAGTCAGAGATTTATTCAAGTTCATTTATTTTGAAATTGGAATTCTTTGAATATAATATCAACCAAAAGGAAAAAATGACTTGTGTAGATTTTAAACAACAGGACTAATTTATATTTGGCCAAAAGTGTCTTTTCACTCCTCATAGCCTCACAGAGGTCAGTGGGAAGGTAGACTGAATAATGTGACCATATGTGACTAACAATTCTGGTTCTAGAATTAAAAGGAATACATTTACACCCAAACCATTCATGCGTCTAACTTTAATTTAACCTTTTTAATTCATTGGTAGGTACAAGCAATAATAATGATGATTAAAAAATACTCCATGGTAATTATAATTGTTATTATGAGAAACAACCATAAAGTAATTTTAATATATTGTAACGATCTTAAAAACATTAATTTTTTCACTTGAAAATAATTTAATAGAAGCAAGTTTCCTAGAGAATAAAATTTCACTGGGTCTATATACTATGCTTTTCATGCTAGATTACAGAAAATCTGTATGAAGAAAGATAGATAGGTGGGTAAATACATAAATACCTACAGAGAGATACACATAGACCAAGATATTTTCATTTAGATATTAATAAATCAAGTTGGAAATAAAATATCCTTATTTATTTGGTTGCTGTCCATCTTAGGAGATGAACTTCATGCTTATGTTGATCTCTGAGTCTCTGTACTTGATATGTTATGCATGCATACATGATTTAAGAGGACCTGAGGTGGATGAGTCAGATCAGTGTTGAGAGAGAATGCTAATCTGAGGGAAGCTATTATCACTAACAAACCCAAAACACATGGAATGTGGTCATTTGATATGGGGAGTGGAGGACTAAATTGCATGTTTCACAAGGAACTTTAAATGCAGGTCTGATTCTTTTTTAATAATAGAGACACAGAAACAGAGACAAAATCCATATGAAAACTACAAGATAGTTTCAAGGGAGTATAAAACACAAGGATCTGAGACACATAAAAAGCCACATAACAGTATCAAAGCGGCTTTTCATCTGTGACCAAAACTTTGAAGCTTAAGTAAAATGCACACTTCTTAGGGAAAATGAAGTAACAAAACTATAATGCACCATCAATAGTTAAAATAATTGTACTCTAGTTCACATTTTCATGAGTTTTCTAATTCCACAGTTTATTAACTTATCTTATCATGTTTAATAACCTAATGAAAATTTTTCACCTAGTTGGGAATGGATTAGTAAACAAGGTTAAAAAGAGTAAGGACTAAGACTAATTAAGAAATGCCTTAAGGTGCCCTGAGGACACATCAAAGAACTTTAATCTCCAAGTCTATAATAATAAAGTGCCATGGCTCTAAAATAATTAAAACTGCTGTGGTTAATCATTGAGGGAAAATTATTGGGCACAGCAAAAGAAACCAAAGATCAGAAATTTGCATTTCAACATTTCAAGTTCCATGATAGATTTCCATGACAGAAACTGATCAACTTGACCTTGGTTGCAGAAATACTCTACAATTAAATACATATCTGATTCTTAAGTATTTAAAAAAGAAAACGTCAATGACTGGAAGTCAGCATGTTTTTAATGTAATAGACAATAGAAACCTAAAACTATCTATTTTGAATAGCACTACTAATGTGGCAGATAATATTAGCATAGGTTTCCCCCCTCTACTTAATATAAGATTAAGAGTAAGATTAATATGTGACAAGAATTTTATGTAACTTCTAAAAACATGTAAGCCTCCTTGGGCAATATCAACAGAAGTATGGTAGCTGTATATAAGCTTATCGTTAATGCTTTTGCACAGTTAAAATGGTAAAACATCTTATGTGTCCATGATACATAGCCCTTATCTGGAAATAGACTACATTTAGAAGAGAATAATTTAGGGCTCGAGAAATAACTCTGTGAATAAAAACACTCGGGGCTAAGCCTGATCACCCAAGTTCCTTGGAACTGACCTAATGGAAGGACAGAACTGATTCTCCAAAAACTGCCCTCTGACTTTCATGTGTACACCATGTCATATGTGTACCATGTCATGTGCACACCCCAACACACAATAAATAATTTAAAGGATTATTTCAAATTTATATTTAATATATGTGTTTCCATTTCTAGTAGAAGTAATAGGGTTTTTTTTTCTGAAATACTTAACCCATGTCAAGCCTGTGTTCTAATTCTATAATCAACTGAAAACAATTTAATCTTATCTTTGACACAAGAGCGTTTCAAGACAACCAAATTGTATATATTAGAAAATCAAACTTTTTCTGGCATTCTTCCCATAATCATAGCTCTTAATTTATAGGTGTTAATGTATGAAATATTCGTTTATTCAAAACAGTAAAGCCCCAAATCTGTGGTCAAATAGAATAAGTTACAGTAGTACAGTGAGTTCTAAGACTATTGCTAAAATTGATCTTACTTCCAATGAGAGTTTTAATGCTGTTACATGCCTTAGTCAGATATCCTACTGGATAAAAACTAATTCTTTAACTGCATATGCTCTTGGAAAATACCATAGTATAATACATACATACACACACACACACACACACACACACACACACACACACATATATATGTATATGGAACAAAATTTCTTATATTTAGCTTTAAGTTTTATCTTCTCAGGTAATTTTAAATGTTCTTAAGTCTTACCTCAGCTTCTCTGAGTTTTGTAAAGTTTGACTGTGCTCCAATGTAATATGAAATGCCTTTTGATGCACCCTCCAAAGTTGCACCTCGTATTAACAGAATTAGGAGAACCACATACGGGAAAAGAGCTGTAAAATATACCACCTAACAAACAGAACAACTAAAAGTTAATGCCACTTTAAAATCATGGCATATAATTTTCTTTGAGCAAAATAAACAACCAGTCGCAATTTGTGAAATAATTACCTCAGGTTTCAAAAAGTAGGTAAGTCCAATGATACCAGTACCAATTTTAGGATAATTTCCTTTCTATATTCTCACCACTCTAAAAATAGATCCATGTTTGAAAGTACTTTGATGTAGGGAGCAGTATTTCTAAGGTTCCTACTTAGAACCTTAGAGTGATCACTTGAGATCTAAATGGAATGCTGTCCTATGTGGATCCTTATAAATGTCTCAGGGGACTGAATGCCTCTTTTCAGTAAACTGGGATGAGAAATGTAAAATTGGTAATGATAAGTACATTCAGTCCCCAAGGACAAGGAAAATATCTTCTAGTACATGTCCAGAGCTCACAAAAGCTACACTAGTGTAAATACAGAGCACATTGAATGCTTGTTACTTAAAGCTACTTTTAAGAGAAGCTGATAAGATACACATAGGCACACGACTCTTGTCTTAGATACCACAGGGGTTCAGATGAATGGATTGCCCTTGAGGCTGTCTATAATAACGTGTAAGTTTTTGATCCTTAGATATCTTATGTTTGATAATATTCCCAATAAGTTGATTTAAATAACTCACCCAAGACACCAATAAATTCCAACGCTTAATTAAATTGCCTTTAATGGACTTTTTGCAAGAAAACTACTGCATCATAAAGGAACCAAGGGTTTAAAATGTGCAAATGAAGTGTATAGGAAAGTTGCCACTGAATTTTTACAAAGTATTTGTAGCATTTTTTTCAAGAAATCACATGCGTCATTGTATTCACATTAATTCAACATGCTGGCTATTGTACTAGGAAGATGACAATAAGTGTGTGCAATTATTCCTACCCTTGAACTCCTCAGCAGCATCACACTGATCAGCTAAAATCATGTAAAAATACACTTTTCTGGGTAGTATGCAATTCTTTTTTAAATTTTATTTTTTCATTCACTTATTTTCACTTCCTACCCTCCTCCCAATCCCCTCCTGCTCCCCCACATCTCCTCCTCCATCTCCCACCCTGCTTGAGAGAGGGCTGGGAATCCTGCCCTGTGGGAAGTTCAAGGCCGTCCCCCCTACATCCAGGCCTAGGGAGCTGTGCATCCATATAGACTAGGGTCCCAAAAAGTCTTCACAGAAAAACGTTTCAGTTCTTCTTTTAAGTTGCACCTAAGCTTTCTGAAGTTTTGTTTTGTTTTGTTTGTTGTTGTTGTTGTTTTTGTTTGGTGGTTTTTTTTTTAAGTATGAAGGGGGAAAACACAAATGTTTTGCAGAAGAGGCCCATTCAACGACAAAGAAGAGTCTTGCTCCATTAGAAATGATTAATTTAAAGGAATGGTTGCATATTATTTTCTCTGTGTCTTCAACTGATACTGTTATCCTAGAAAACATTCTACAATTCTCCAATTCAAGCTGCTTACTGTGGGACAGAAGCGTTTAAAACATACTTTCAAGCCCCAGAATGCTGTATTCGCTAGTAGAGTCTGAGGTTTAAACAATTGCACAAGGATTGTATTCATTTTGATTTGCTTTTAACAATAGCATTTATCCTATGCTTATGCATAAAACAAGAATGTCTTATGTAGAAAGACTTTCAAGGATTCGAATGTTCCTATTATACAAAACTCTATTAATAATTTATATTTGATGAAACTACAATGAAGTTGAGTCACTAATGTGACTTCCAACTTACCTTACCAGAGGACTTTATTCCTTTAAACAATGCTGCTCCAACTATGAGCCAAGCTAGAAGAAGACAAAGTGCTAAATACCACACAATTACTCCAGTTTCTTCCATTCCACTTGACCGCTGTAGAGCCACTTTGCTGAAATACAGAAGACCATTTATAAGCACAAAATCAATTGTATTTGTTTAAAAAAAAATCAAAGGACTTTGTAATGTGTTTCATCCCAATGGAAACTTCAGTATTGTAGCTTAGTTTTGCAACCTTTTTATTGATAGATAATGTGTGAGGGGACAAATATTATTCCTTTGAAAGACAATCTTTGAACTTCAAGGGTCCAAAAGGCAGTCTTAATTTCAAGCACCTAGAAAAAAATCATTACTCATGATTTTCTCCCAATGTTTTAATTTCCTTTATGTAAAGAAATTAAACTTCTAACTGGTACCTTCATGCGACTCCTTATGGGGTTTTCTCAAAATAAATGTCATAAATAAGACATTTAACTTTGTATTATTTAATGACTTATTCAAAACCTGTATATATAATCAGACTGAAATAGTCTGATTCTTCATATCTTCAAAGAGTTTCTGTGCAATTCCATTATTTCCAAGTTCTGTAACTAGAGAGATGAATCAAAGTTAAGAGTACTTTCTACTCTTCCAGCGGACCTGTATTTGCTTCCCAGCACTCTCATCAGGTGGCTCACAACCACCAATAACTCCGGATCCTGGGAGATCTGATTCCTCTTGCCTTTTCAGGCATACACACACACACACACACACACACACACACACACACAGACACACACACTAAAAAATAACTAGCATGATATTTGGAAAACTTCTAAGATTGAAAATGTTAAAGCACCATGCTGGAGAAAACATTATTTAGCTCTCTCAAAACAATTACAAATATATCCACCATATCATCTGATAGTCCTACTATTTACTGTGTATTTAAAAGAAATAAGATCAGGTTGTCCAAAAGACATTTGCTCTGCCAAGTTATTCATTCATATTCATAGCTATTCATAAAAGTCAATACAAATAAACAACTTAAGTGTTCATCAAATGATGAATGGATAAAGGAAATATATTACATAACTCACTAGAATACTATTCATCATGTATATTTATTTTTATAAATATATCATATAAATATAATATATAACATACACATATAACATGTAACATGTATATTATATATTATATATCTATAATTATAAGTAGCATATTTGTATGTTTTATGTTATAATTACATTTTACATTATATATAATATTTATGTGTGTTATATTGCTATAATATAATGTATTATATATTCCAAAAATATATCCTGTTCAGTCCGCATAAGACTACGCGCATGGATATTTTGAGAACTGAGTATTTGGCACTGAACAACCAATGTTGTTCTCATAGGGGAAGACTAGATTTTCTGCTCCCAGCTTTACTTTGTTTCTTATCATTCTTTGTGCTAGGCTGAGGCCATGTGGGGTTTTCCCCATCCAACTGGACATGTAGATTGGTGTCATCCTTGTTCAGCTCATGTTTTGGCAATCATGTCATTAAGGATTCATATGCTTCTGACTTTATTAGGAGATATAATCTCATAGAAAGCTACCTGATCCTCTTGCTTTTTATAGTCCTTTGGCCCTTCTGAAATATTCCCTGAGCCTTGAGTTTGGGAGTGGTGGCTGATATTTTTATGATTTGTTTATTTTATTTTATGTGCATGAGTGTTTTGTTTGCATATGTGTATATGAGAATATGCATGCCTCGTGCCCTTGGAGGCTAAAAAAACGACACTGGACCCCCTAGAATTAAAATTACAAACAGTCATGAGCCACAATGTGAGTGTTAGAACCAAAATTTGGTCCTCTGCAAGAACAGTGAATACTCCTAACCTCTTAGTCATCTCTCCAGAGCCTAATTGTTTATTTGAATTTTCTTATTATATTCAATTTTTATTTATTTATTTTTTTGTGTGTGCACATTCCACTGTATATAAATGTTTTCAGTGGACACTTTCAGGTGTCAGTTTTTTCCTTCTACCACATAGGTTACAGGAGTTGAACTCAGATTGCCAAGCTTGGCAGCTGGCACTTCCATGTGCTGAAACATCTCCCAAACTCTATAATTCTCTAACATTAACTTTTAACTAGCAATTATTATTAAACTATTATTTAAATGTTATTGCACTGAACGACTGACTTGTAAAAGATACATGTTAAAAATGAGCCTCTTCAGGTAGTTCAATTCACCTACAGTAGGTAAACATTTGAATCAAAATATTTATCTGTCACGGTTCTCATTTCTATTTATGGGAGTGAAAATGAGGGAAGGTATACAGGTAAAGAGAAAGGTGCTCAACTCACAACATATACTTATAATAAAATTAAAAAAATAAAATGGGAAATAAAAGGAGCTGACCAATATTTCACTGTGGTTCAAAAAGCCTTTCAACAACACTTGTTTAAAAAGTCAGTCAGTACTTACTCCCAATACTGTTCACTGGGAAGTTGTCCTGGCTGAAAAACTTCACTACCATTCAAGCAGGTCAGGTTGTTGTGAGTTACCCAGCTTATATTCATAAACATCTCTCCTGTTACTGTACTCACATTACAGCCGGTAACTAAAAAAAAAATGATAGATACATAAATGAATCAGTAGATAGATGATAGATAGAAAGATGATAGATAGATAGATAGATAGATAGATAGATAGATAGATAGATAGATAGATAGACTTATATGTAGAAGAATATTTTCATGGGGAGAAAAAGAGGATTTTAATGGGAAATACTTAAGTTACTACTTACATTGTTACTTGGTAAAAGTAGAATAAATAAATTACAAATAGAATAGAGCATGTAACATTCAATATATCAAATCTTCTCCACCACCAATTGGTAAAGCCCATAATTCTAATTATCCATTTAAACTCTGGTCGTTTTTACAGAAATAACTGCTACAGAATAAAAGGTATTGCAGTTGACACTTAGCATTTAGCAGAATTTTCAGCAGGGAGTTTCAGCTAGCCTGTATAGATATGCTACCCCTTTAAACCCTTCCAAAACATTAAAGCTTCATCTTATGGGTATGGATAATTTCAACTGCAATATCCTCCAGTATTAATATTAAGTATCTCATATTGATATTGGCAGCACCCAGTCTTTACTACTACCATTTAAGGATGTTAATTATGGCACTTAAAAAAACATTCTTTTTTTCTTACTATCTTCTGCTTAGAACATAGAGTTGCAAGATTTACTTCTACGTATGGCTTGGCTTTCCATAAAAGTGTACTTAAATTTGTTAGAAAATTATTTAATCATTTCAACTTGTTTAGTAATTATGACAAAATTATAAAGCTAGTAATATTTTAAAAGTTGACAATGGAGTTTACCTATTGGTGATCTGCTACAGTTATCGTCTGCCCAAGAAGAACAATTGGCCCATGGTAGTACACTTTGAAAAGAAGCAAACAAGTAGTAAAGGCTGTAGGCGATTATGACATTGTAATAGATTGTCACAAAAATGGATATCAGGACCATTGTGATTCCAACACCTGGAAAATAAAACCGTTAAAAGGTGAAGTTTAATTTGCTGATCCATAAGAAGAGCTGAGTTCAATTTCCACAAAAGCTAAAATAAAAGACTCTTTCACATAAGTCTATGTTGTAATTCAGAAAAAAATGTGTCTGAGATGGAGAGGTGTTACCCTGTCACAATGTTTCTTCCAATATTTAAAAGACTCGATTTTTATTATTTTTAACTGTGTCTGTGCACTGCACACCTGTGAGTGTGCACACTTGAGTGCAGGTGCCTACAGATGACAGAGGCATTGGATGCCCTGAAACTGGAGTTACAGGAGACTCTGAAATGCCCAGTGTAGGTGCTGGTAATCAAACTTGTACTCTCTGGAAAAGCAGTGAGTGCTCTTAACTGCTGAGCAATCTCTTCAGATCCCTCTTCCCAAATGCAAACCAATTTTGATGACTGGATTTTGGAGAATTTTTCATTTTTTTAAGAAAAGGCTATTATGGCTAAAGGGGAAAGATATAGAATTAGCCACAAAATTCACAAAACTCTATTCAATTATTCTTTATTAAGTCTTCAAATCCTTCTGAGAGCAGGAAATACAGGTACTAAAAACGTTCAATATTCATACCCTCTGGACAAATCCACCAAAATTCACATGTTTATCTGTAAAACAATTGTCAGATAGTAAAGGAAGATTCTGATGTAACATTTTTAAAGGACACAATCCAGTATTTCTCCGAAAAAGTACAAATTCAGAAACAATCTGAATTTAACCTCCAAAAGTTCTGTTACTCAGTAGGTTCACAATGCAGTTTAGCATAATGATAATAACTTCTAATATTAAGACTAGTATTTGAAATAGCTTCTCCCATCATCCAGTAAAGCATTCTATTTACCTCCTTATTATATATTTCTAATGTTGCAAACAAATGGTTTGCAGTAACTAGTAAATGCTAAAATTATATTTAGTCTTTAAAGATAAAAATCAAGGCATTTGTTTTTTATCTAGACTCTTCTCCTATTAGGAATATCCAAGAGAAAATAGTGGCCTGCCATCCAACTTTTCTCAGTGATGCTTTATAAAAGATATAAAAGACAGTAAAACAAATCTGTACAAGAAATAACTTAAAAGAAAGAGCCTTGGGGCTGGAGAGATTACTCAGTGGTTAAGATCACTTGGTGCTCATCCAGAGGACCAGAGGACAATGATAGTTCAGCATCCATATTGGGTGTGTCACAACTTCCTGTAACGCCAGCTTCCAGGTGATCAAATGCCCTCTTCTGGCCTCTACAGGCACTCACACACTTGTGGCATACACTCATGTGCACATATACATAAATTAAAATAAAAATGGTACATTGTTAAAGCTGTTGTCTTGAAGCTAATGCACAACAGGACTATGAAAAAATAATTCAAAAGGTGAAAATTGTCAAATAATTACACCATGACAATCATCTTTTAGTGTCATTTCTATGTGTGCATCCAGGTAAAAGTAAAAGTTAACATTTGAAGACTGGAAAGATGGCTCTGTAGGTAAACAGTTTGCTATAGATATATAGGAATAAGTACCTGAACTTAGCACCTGTGGTTAAAAAAAACCTGTTGTAATAGAGTGCACTTAAATCCCACCACTGAGGAAGTAGAGATAACATCTCTCCAGTGCTTGCTGTCCATTCAGTCTAGCCTAACAATGAGCTCCATGTTTAATGAGAGACCATTTCAAAGGAATTAAGAAAGATACATGACATTGACTTTCATGCTCTATATCCAGGTGCACATGTGTATGCGAATGCATATGTGTATGTGTATGCACAATATATATACAAAAAAAGCAATGCCATCTTTGCCCTAGCATGTCCTTTTTCCTTTTTCTGTACTTTTAGTTGAAAGAGAAAACCATATTTTTCATATATTGTGTGATGCTTGAATTGCATATATATTGTGAAATGAATTAATCTTCTGATTGGCAAGCATATTACCTCCAGGTGACTATCACTTCATGGGTAAGAATACTTGATGAACACTATCTTTATTTATGAGATTAAAATATATGAATATAATATATTGTCTGTTCTCAACTATGGAAACCATACTGTGATTTTTATTTTTTTCAGTTCTCCAATTTATAGACCTATAGATTGTAACTTTCTTGGATTTGTTTCTTTTTCTGAGACATGGCTTCTCTGTGTAGCCCTGGCTGCCCTGGAAGTTACTCTGTAGTTTAGGATGGCCTCCAACTCAAAGATCTGCCTGCTTCTGCCTCTGACTCCTGAGTGCTGGAATTAAAGGCATAATCCACCACACCCAGCAAATTTATTTCTCTAACTATAACCGTATCTTTTTTGACCTACATGGCTTCTTCCTTCCTGTCCATCTCTGCCTCTGTGAGCATTTTCTGCTCAACTTCTATGGAATCAAATGTGTCAGGCTTTAAATTCTCTTTTTTTTCACCAAGTGAAAACAGTGTAGGTAGACCAACAATCATGATACTGAAAAGTCTTAAATACCAACCTTGAAACAATGGCAGAATCCTCCAAACTGAAACTGGACCTAAGCTAGCAAATTGTCCCAGGGAACATTCCAGGAAGAACAAAGGTAAGCTAGCCAATGCTAGCATAATTGCATATGGTATCAAGAAAGCACCTGAAAAGCAAAGAGATAAATTTATTATTACATTTTAAAGTCTTCTTGGCACTTTGACAAGGAACATAGCATTTTAAAGCATACTAATACAGTGGAAATGGAGGGATTTGGCTTGAGGTCCAAGATTCATTACTTTTTGTGAGAACGTAACTTAAATGCATTAACTGAGTTTCCCATTAATCAAATGGGAATGTTTCCTAGTGAAGTTACTACAATTACTAAAAATAATAGCTAATAAAAAGTCTGTCAGTGAAGTTGAGAGATCAGAGACTATAGAGCTAAATAGATATACATTAAAATGCTGGCTCTGTCATCTATGAACTATTTAGCCTAAAATGTTTTACTAGCCTGTGAACTTTTCCTTCTTATAAAAGGGGGACCTAGTACTAACTCATATACTTCCTGTCTCGAGTTCAAATGATGGGCCACCAACAATTATCAAATTTACTAATTTACTGATCAAACAGTGGCAACACTGCAAGCATATGACATGTGTTCAATGTTACTTCCCTTCCCTCTGTTCCTTCCTTCTTTCCTTCCTCCTTCCCTTCCTCCTCTCTCACTCAACAATACATGGATTACTTTTAAAATTTAGAATGTAGATGGTAAGTAGAGTTGAGAATGCAAATTACTGCAATTAAGTTCATAATTCTTTTAGCAGTCACAAGGTTCCTTAGTCAATGTTAATAAGAAATGGTTTTGTTAAGGACTGACCATCTGAGACTCAGTTAACTTCCACTATCATGGGAACTAATCTCCCATATAAGAATATCCAACTCCTCCCCTCCTTTTAAACATTTTGTTTTACTTTTTCTGCCCATATTTGGTTTATGATACTTCTCACTGGAATGTTTACCAGACTACAAGTTGAAACAAAGACATAACATTCAATATCCCAGCCAAACAATCTAGAAGTCTTGGCAACAGTTATTGAAAGCAAGATAGAGTTCGACAAATGAAAACAGGATTTCCGATATGTATACCTCATTCATTCTGTCGCAATTATCCTTAATTATTTTCCTTGCTACTCATGAATTCAAAAAGCACTTAGAGAATGGAGATTATCTATTACTCAAATGATGTGACCTTAAAAATTTGAGTACCAGTGTGTCATATTAACTTTTAGAAGATACATAAAAGAGGCATAAAAAATTATTTAATTTGCATTATCTTTTAAATTTTTCTATTAAAATTAGTTTTATTCATTTCCTGGAAGGTTATGCTGATTATTCGGTGAATTATGATATCAAGTTACAGGGTATATCTTATGGTAAACACAATTGTAAGAATCTCAAAAGAGCCTTAGGACATAGACACCAAAAAGATTGTGATTATTGACTCATTTTCCTGCTAATACTTACATCAAAACCACTATTGGATGACCTAAGTCCTAGATGAGGAAATTTAAGCTACTCACACTTAAAGTGTTTAATAAACAGAGCTCAGAGCTCCTTTTTTGAGTCTCTGATGGCCAGTGTGAATGTTTTAAATACTCAATTAACAAGAAATGTGGTTGACACATCACCACACACAATCCTATTGTGCCAAGAGAAAAATAATTATACTGGCAAAATTCCAAAGGTGTCCAATTATGAAATACAGGCACATGTCATCTCTGTACTTCTAACATAGCCTATAAGCACAAGTAAGTTAAAATGCTGTAATTGAAAAGTTATTTCCACATTACTAGAATATTGCACAACTCATTTCTTTCCCTTTGTGTGTCATCTTAGTTATTTTTGTGTTCTGATTAGGTCTACCTTATGATCTACAAGATATAAAAAGTATTCTTTTTGCAACAATAAAACCACAGAGCCTTGAACTAAATTCTATTCTATTTTATTTATATTCTATATGGTTGGTGGCAATTTAATATATACATTAATAGTATAACAAAATATTAATTAATAACCATTTTTGTTCACACTTAAATTATAAAAATGTCTTACTCTAGCTAAGCAGTTTCCTTGAGCTTTTAAAAAGATTTAGATGTCTCTCCTTTTACATACTTCAACTTCAAGCTCAACTTGAGTATGAATATACTTTTAAAAGTCCTAGTTGAAGATTATATGGCCTCTCAAATCAACTCAGAAGTACTGCATGTAACACTCTTATCAAGTTTATATCAGAGTTTTCTGAAGCAGTTTTCAAACTTGAGCTAATATTTTACAGTTCATTAGTAAATGTTTTGCTTGTTTCTCATCCTCTTTACTAACTGAAAATATCATATACCTCTCTTTAGTTCATATTTCATTATATGCATATATAAGTATTATATATGTGTATATTGTATATACTTATATGTGTTGTATTACATAAGTATTTAGAATTTTCTATATGTGGATACAAACAGCATCCCATTAGAGGAAAAAGAATGGAAGAAAAAGCCTTCCTCCACCATTGGTGTAAGTCAGATATGGGAATCGCCAGACATTTCCCAATCCCACTGCATATCCAACCATAGACAGAAGATAATCCGATTTTTTGGACCAGTTACCACGGTCTGTATTTTCATCATTTTCACCAACATGGAAGTTCTCAGATGAAGCTGTCACTTTCTAAAAAAGGAAAAAATTATCAGTTTCTACCCTTTCTGTTACGAATTCCACAGAAGCATAATTTCATAAATTCACAGTGTTATAGAAAAGAAGGGTGAAAACTCATAGGGAATTCTTCTCAAAATCCAGAAGATTTTCTCCATCCAAGTATTAACCAGGCCCAACTCTGCTTAACCTCTAGGTCAGATTTGGAACACTCAGACTGGTACAGCAGTAGACAAAACTAAGAAGATTTCTGCTGGTAGCTGCATTTATTTAGCATTTGCTTGTTCAAATTAAAGAAAGAAGTTTCTAAGATGTTTTTACTGCCCTTTCAGCTAACATCATCTGAAGTTTAATGTCACACCAAATGAAGTGCAAATGACAGTAGACAAGTCAAGTGTCAAATACAAAACAATTTAGTATAAATTAGGAAGAGTCAACATTCCTAAGGTTCTAGCAGGTTATTAAGAAGTATTAAATGTAGCTTCTAATTAAATGAAAATCAGTCCATACACTTTCTATGCTCTGATTAGAGCACATAATCCGTGTTTTCCCAAAATCACGAAATAATATGCAGAGACAAATTTTCCTGTCCCACCAGGTGGAGCAACTCTCTCTCTCTCTCTCTCTCTCTCTCTCTCTCTCTCTCTCCCTCTCCCTCTCCCTCTCCCTCTCTCTCTCTCTCTCTCTCTCTATCTCTATCTCTCTCCCTCTCTCCCCCACACACACACTTAGGGAGGGGTTCTCTTCCAACCTGTTAGCTGCTTGAGTATGAAATGCTCCTAAGGTCAGATAAGGACAGTCCATTTTTGCATTCCCCTGCAGCATATGAGCACAGTGTAGAGAAAGACAAAGAACAACATTCTGTAGGGTTCCCAAGGTACAGGGTGAGGTGCTCCTAAGTATAACTACCAGCATAAAAGTTGTTTTTCACATCGTTTGTGGGACGTGGAAAGTTTGTGGGAACATAGCAGGCATACTTGAAAAGAGTTGAAAAGAAAGAAATATGCGAAAAGGAACAGCTACAGAAAGCAAAACTTGAGACTCCCCCGCCCCTTGTTTTCCCTCTCTGTCCCTCTACACCTCCAGAGGCTTCCAGACCCATACCTGCTTCTCTCTGCACTTGAAGAAGCTCGGGCACTTCAATCTGTCCATGGTTCACTCACTCCCTTGGCTTGCTCCTCCTCGCCTCTTCTCACAGTCTGGCTGAGCTCAACTGGTGGCAGGTGCACACTCCCCCGTTGCTACCTGCCAAAGTGAGCCACCTTGCCCAGGGGTGGGACCATTTATGGAGGGAAGCTCTCTCCTCCCCCTTCCTGACGCTCAGTCCTTTCAATTACTGGAAGGGACCAAAGTGAGCCTTTGGTGTTTCCCCCAGGTAATCCTGCATGTAGCAATTCCCTGTCCCAGCCCTAGGAGAGGGCTGGGCTGTGAGCGAGTGAGCTGTGCAGCCAGAGTCAAAGAAGACTGACAACTTTTGACTCAGAGCAGTGCAGGTGCCTTAGTAGTCTTGCTTGCTTTCCTGGATACCTGGATTCCTACTAACCTTGCTTCTCAGTCAGGCTTCTGTCCTGGGGCCAAATGCTGATCGCCCCTGGTGCTGGAGGTGGGAGAGACCCAACCTGTGGGGCTCATTTTGTTTGCTATGAATTTTTTTTTTTTTTGTGAACAGAAGACCTCTGGGCTTCCGATTTCTCCAAGTTTTACCCCTCATTAGAAAGCTCTTCATCACGTGGGGGCAAACACTGCTCCCAGAGGGGAAAGCCCCTTAATTGGGCACCTTGAAATGTAGCCAGTTAAGATAAGATTACCCAGCTGCCTCTACCTGAAAAGAGCAACTTTGAATCTATGTCTCGAGCTCCTTTCTCAGTCTTCGGGAGTGTTTTGCCTTTTACAAGGATTGCTTTGTGTGGTATTGCAAAGAAGCCAAACACAAACAAATTATTGAGCAGGTTTATGGGAAATTTGAACCTTAACAAAGGACTTCACTCAGCCGAGAAAGGTGAGGCCTAGAAAGTAAACTATAAGGAAACTTCCCCGCTTACCACAGAGAAAAGCCTTACTGCAATTCTGATCACGGGTCCAGCATCTCTTCATCAAAAACTCAAAGAATCTGGACTCAACCTGTCCATTCAGAGAGGGTGGTAGTTCCACCTAATGGCAAAAATTCATGCAATCTGAGGAACCAGCAGGGACTCAAATTTTCATTTATGTATAGTTCCTTTGTTCCACACTGGCTGACAAGAATTTTCCATTTGCAGTAGAAATATGCCCTCAGGAGTCCAGGTGGGTAGAGTTGAGTGGGATATCCAGAGGTTGTGAACAGAATGTATGAATGCCTTGACTTTGGTGGTGACTATAACACAGGCTGGTTTGGGATTTTATATGCGCACATATTTATATCACATACACATAAGTGTACGTGGAGAAATAGAAAAAAACAGTATTCTAGACTACTGGTATGACCTAATACCGGAGATATTAGCCTATCTTAACCATAGCAGAAAAGGTCTTTATAAAAGAGCTGAAAAACAAATCAAACAGTGTTCAAGGAACTAGCAAAGTCTCATAGGAAGGAAAGTAACCCAGCATAGGCCAGTGTAAACAGCTGGTAACTAAGGAAAGAGAAGAAGAAAGATCCTACTAACAGGCAAATTGTAGGGAGCAAAATGTATGTAGAACAGGCAACAATACACAGTAGAGAAGTTTTAGTCACTCCTGAGATTAAAGCAACTAAGACACAAATTTATGGTAAAAGGTCTGCTAGTGAATATATACATTTTGTGGTTTATTGCGAAGGAACATTTTTCCCATTAGTAGACACGGCACTTCATGACCCAGCTAATGTCTACATATTTGCATGATATTATCTCTTGCCATTCTTTGTCACTAACTCTTAAGCTTAGGTGTCTTATTCTGTACATGGTGTTTCTCACCTATGTGAATTTACTCGTGGTTTTTTTTTTTTTTCCTTCTGGAAATTCCCACCCTCCTCCATACTTGTTGAACTACTACTCAGTCATCCTTTAAACTCGTACTTAGCTGTCATCTTCTCTGGACCTTTCCACAGAGTTTCCCTCTGTATTACAACACACTATATTTGCATGTTTCTCTCTGTATTCCTATGCTACTCTACATTCATGGGAAATTGTGGCCTTTGAGTGCAAGATGCATGTCTTAAACCTCCTTGTATTTTAAGCACTAGTACCCAGTGCAATTTAACAAATGTATATCATTTGCCTAAGAGCTGTGTGTGACAGTATGGGACCTGTAATCCTAGT